TATATTCTCTGTCACCTTAATTCAGAAGAAAGCTCACCCCTAAGGAGATGGCCTATTTTATTTCTATTCCTCAGCTGTCACTTGAATACACTCATCGGAGACTGGAAGCCTTCTCATCACAAGAGAAGAACAAATGGCACCTATCAGCTAAATAAAAGCCATGGAGCATGCTGCCAGCATGTTCTAATGGGCTCTCTCAAACTACCCCAGTCTGCTAGTCTCACTCTCCCTATATTAAACAGACTTAACTTTAAGAAGGGTGAGAAATTATTCATCTCCAGGTATCTGCTCTTCGATTTGCTGATTAGAAAGAAAAGATGATGTTACTATCCTTTTTACATTAAAAATAAATGAAGTTATATCACTGACAACTTGGAAAAGAGAGTAAAAAAATTATTTTCATCAGCCACCCTAAGACAACCGTCAGTAGCCCTTGTATTTATTTCTTTCAGTCCTTTATTCAGACTTTTTACATGATTTTAATTTTATTATAAGTTACAGAATGAATATGTTCCCATCAGCTCAATGGAGAAAATGATCGCACATCATTATAAAAAAGAGAATAGGGACGCCTAGGTGGCTCAGCGGTTGGGTGTCTGTCTTCAGCTCAGGTCGTGACCCCGGGTCTGGGGATCGAGTCCCACATCGGGCTCCCTGCGAGGACCCTGCTTCTCTCTCTGCCTGTGTCTCTGCCTCTCTCTCTCTCTCAAAAATAAATAAATCTTTTAAAAAAAAAAGAGAGAATAAATTCTCTGATGCTTACCATCTAGTATCAATCACTACATGAATACACTTGGCTAACACTTTCCATGTATCATGTAATTTACTTTTCATAACAACCCATATAGTGAACATTTTTATATGTATGCTGAGCCCTTCTAAAAGACCACACAAATGACATTCTAATTTTCTCTTTTCTTTCCTTCTCCCATCCCTTTTTTCTTTCCCTACACTACACTCCATTTCATCTCTGAAGATAATGGTGGGTGTACCTGCCACCATACGTATGTATGTCTGCTGAGAAATCCTGCTCCAACTTTCAGAGCTTTATGTTCCACTAACATATGGACCCTACTTATGACCACTTTTCTTATCTCTTGCCAACTCATACAATTATAAGTTCCCAGCAAGACCCTACTTCCTTGCCCTCTAAAATGTCCATTAGAAACTTTCTTGGGGCCCCTTTTTCAACCTTTACTACTGGCCATGTAGGGACAATCCACAATATAATCCAAAGACTTTAAACAAATATTGCTAACACTTGAACCATCATTGCAATTATTGACAGTTTGATATGGATGGTTAAAATAGAATTCCATTTGCTTGCTTCATAATTATAATAATATTATATTTCTTTCTTTTTGCTTTATTTCAATACTATAATTTGGACAATTATCCAACAGAGTTCCTGGCAAGCATCTGGAAGATATCAATTTGAAAGAACTAAATGCTAATTCTCTGATTATAAGAGAATAATAAAATTTTTAAGTTGCAAAATTGTATTCACATTGAAAAACATCCAATCCACATGTCCTCCACTATAAAAGTGTCTGTAATTATTAAACATAATCCATATTATAGGAGATTTACAAATTGTGAATTCCACATAGAAATGTATTTTCCACCCCTCAACATCACCCTCCAAGTAACATGCAGTTAATTCTGCCCTTGGGGTATCATTCACATTTATTTTATCACTGATCTGTTGGAAGAAAAACTGCTTCTCCTTAGGACATGTCCAAAAATAAAAAGAAGTAGTGTGTACAATGGAATGTACTCATTGCATCCAGGATGGAAGAGATTTTTAAGAGAAGTCATAGAGGCAATTATAGTCTTAAACATAGAAAGAACAAAGACTATGCATCACTGGAAACGTAAAATCCAAAACGGACTATATACATCTTTCATTTTCAAGTAACAAATGTCTGTTCTGCTCATTTAGGAGAAACAAAAACATATTCCTTGTCCTTTGTCTCTTTTTCATTAACTCGAATTTCCTTGGTGGGAAGAGATTCCTACTCAACAAACTAAGTAAAGAGGCAATAAGCATTGATTCACCAGATCTCTCCCTCCCTCTTGTGGATACCAGGGAACTCAGAGGGGAGGAGACACCTCTTTTCTCATATTTTTTGTCCCTCCTCAAGGCAAAATTATCCACCCACACACTGACTCTACTGACTCCCAAGTTCTTTGTTGATTGGAAATTTCAGACGCTGTGGTCTGACAAGAGCACAAAAGGTAAGTGGATCCCAGAGGCATAAGCTGTGATAGACAGTAGCTATGACAACTTTGGCCCACTATTTTAGAGGCACATGCAGTCAGCCACCAAGCTCTGTGGTTGTATAATCTCTGATAGTTGGCTGAAGTCATCCACCTGTGGTGTTTATCCGTAATACTGAGTGCCACAGATATGGATGGTTCAGCTGGATAGTGTTCCCCAAAGACAACCTCATTCTTTTCTTTGCTTTAATTGTTTATCTAAATTAAATTTAACCTATAGTATATTATTAGTTTCAGGGGTAAATTTAGTGATTCATCAGTTGCATGTAACACCTAGTCCTCATTACATCACATAGCCTCCTTAATGCCCATCACCTATTTACCCTTCCCCAGACCCACCTCCCATCCAGCCACTGTCAGTTTGTTTCCTAGAGTTAAGAATATACAGTGGAATATTACTTGGCCATCAAAAAGAATGAAATCTTGCCATTTGCAACAATGTGAATGGAGCTAGAGGATATGATGCTAAGTGAAATAAGTCAGTCAGAGAAAGACAAATACTGTAAGATTTCACTCATAGCTGGAATTTAAGAAACAGAACAGATGAGCACAGGGGAATGGAAAAAAAATAAGATAAGCACAGAGAGGGAGCCAAACACAATCCCATTCATACCTCTGGATGCACTGATTGATTCTTGCAGGGTGCCTGCAAGTTGTTTCAAAGTCTGAAACTTTTTCAGCCAGGGCTTGACTTCATCTGGCTTCTTTCTTTAAGTTTCAGACTTTGAAACTGCTTGTAGGCACTTCACAAGAACCTGGCAAAGCATCCCAGGATAAGAATGGGACTGTGTTTGGAGAACAACACTATCCTGCTGAACCACATCCATGGCACTCAGTGTTACAGATAAAAACCATGGGTTGATGACTTGAACCCAACCTAATCAGACATTATACAATCATGTAACTTGATGCTACAGGTACCTATAAGAGTAGACTGCAGCTATAGTAGCTACTGTATATCACAGCAGGCAAGAACACTGCTCTGATCCCAGAGCAGAACTTCTTCTGAATTTTTTTCTACAGAAGAGTAGAAAGGGTGGTACTTCAAAGGCTGGTGCTCTGTTCCCTGCTTGGCCACTAGCTAGATGCAAGGTTCTAGTCCCCAGTGTTTGCATCTGTAAATGATGAGGGTAAATCAGTTTCCCTAACCCCTCTGAGCTCTAAAGTTTTATACTTACTACCACTGAGAATCACATCAGTGTCTAAGATATTCCAACAAGTGAAAAGAACAGAGTCCTGGACCCATGGATCCTTCCCCCAGTGGAAAGGCAAAATACACACACAAAGAGGAGTTTCCCTTCCCCAGTTGACTTTCCACATGTGGTGCTTCTCGAGCAAGACAATAAAGGCAGCTGTTGAAGGGGATCATGAATCTTGCCTGCTCTAGGTCCCTAGAGGCAAAAAGCATGTTTTATGGCATAGCTCATGATGCACATTTGTTGGATTAACTTTTTGAGATTTCTAACTGTGATACACAAATAATACTAGTTGTGTATCTTTTGCAATCTGGAAAGAAGTTAAAAAAAAAAAAACACCTCTCTTTAGGCAAGACAGCATATGGGGAGTGGGGCAGATGTACTTTCCTGAAGCAGTTAGCCAAGTGGTTTCAGATATGCCTTCTCAATGGAGAAAAACTTTCATTTATACCTGAATATTCCTTTTGAAGGCAAGGGACATTCTTGGTTATTACCTTTTCCCACTCCTTATCACAGACTTACAATGAAGATGTTCATCCTTTGGGCTAAGTGAGAGAGACACTCACACATATAGCGCATATTATTATAAATATGCTAATAACATTTTGCATTAACACAGAGGATGACAGTGCTTTACAGAAGATACTTCTAGCTCATTCATCCTCAGGATAGTCATGAAATAGCTAGGAGGAAAGGGATAGTTTGCCAACTTTTCCAAATGACAGGGAACTGCACGGTGTAATCAGTTTGCTCAAATTCATCCAGTGAGGCATTTGCAGAGCCTGAGAGAACACCAGAATGCTAACTTCAGGCTTGGACTGGCTGACTCCATACCCTTCTCCAGAATAGACTGAGGCCCTTGTTTGCAGTGGTTCAGTGTTTACTTATTCCACTCCTCTAGCACACCCTGGATCCTTCTAGCACCTTCCATCTGAGGCCATGAGAAACAATGCTGAGAAAAGCTGAAGTGGATGCCTGCTCATGGGCTTCTGATTCACTCCCTCAATGGGGCAATGCACTTCAAATCTGCCTCTTGGCTGACCTTCGATTTTTACCGCCATTTCAACTACAGAATCTCACTCCAATCTCATGACTTCATGTTTAAGCTTGAGGGCTACTTAAAGACAGAGCCCCTACAAAATGGTTCCACCTTCTCCTCCACTTAACCTGCCAATGCAGAGCACTGCATGCCACTTGGGCCTTCAGAACACCCCTGGTCATGCCCTGCTACTTAAAGACGGAGCCCCTACAAAATGGTTCCACCTTCTCCTCCACTTAACCTGCCAATGCAGAGCACTGCATGCCACTTGGGCCTTCAGAACACCCCTGGTCATGACCCTGCTCTGTCCACAGAAGCAGCTCGCACCCACAGAAAGCTACCACATTGGTAATAGCAAAGCCTGGCTCCCTTAGGAAGGCCACAGTTCCCCACCAGGATGTCAGGGTCTCCTGGCTGTTTCCAGGGAAGCCCCGAAGAGCCCATTCAGCCTGGCCAGGGTGATGACACTGTCCAGAGGACATTACCATGAGGGCTGTGTAGGTGTATGGATAGTGGTAGGCCAGGTAGCAGGCATCCTCACTGTGCGGAAAGGTGACCACAAAGGTGAGGGTGTAAAAACACTTCTCGGATGCTCCCCCTGCAATGGCTGCACTCTGGCGATAATGATTTCTAAAAGAGAAAGGAGAATGGAGAATGAGAGAGAGGTCCCATATGCTCTAAACCCGCCATGTTATATACACCAGCAAAATGACCTTCATCTGAAACTCTATGTGGGTGAAATTTAGAAAACAGGGAAACTGTCAGGTCATGAGCCAAACTAGTAACATTTAGGCAGGTCCATCTGTCTCCGTGTGTGTGTGTGTGTGTGTGTGTGTGTGTGAGAGAGAGAGAGAGAGAGAGAGAGAGAGAGAGAGAGAGAGAGAAAGAGAGCACATGCAAGCAGGGGGAAGGGGAAGAGGGAGAGAGAGAATCTCAAGCAGGCTCCATGCTAGGCTCTGATGCAGAGCTCAATTCCATGACCCTGAGATCACGAACTGAACTCAAGAGTCAAATGTTCAAGTGACTGAGCCACCCAGGTGCCCCAGGTCCACCTGTCTCCTAACTGTGGCGTACATACTATGAGCCTCTCTTTGCTGTGTCTGTGCATGAAGCCTACAGAGTCACTGAGCTAGAAACCAGTCAGACACGTGAATAATTCTGTGTAACCTAAGATGCAATTGCAGACATATACTTTATTACCCAAATGTAGCTTCCCCCAGCCCCTGCCTCTCCCCAGACACCGTGAAATCTTCCTTTCCCTTCTGCCTGTCAAGTGGCTTTGTTAGTAATCACTACTACTGCATATTGATTTCCAAGTTGACACTTAACCCATGTCACCTTATGTTATCATTGCAACAACCCATTGTGTGGGTAAAGGAACAAAAACTCAGAAAAATTAATTTGTCAAAGGTTATAAGGCTAAAAAACATGGCCAGTATGGGACTCGAACCCAGACCTGTCATTCTGCAAAGCCTTTGTTCTTTCCACTATACAATACTTGCTTCTCAAAGGAATACATTTGTCACCCCAAATGTGGTTCAGCTTCTTATAGCTTCAGAGTGCACATTTTCCTTTGTCAAAGATGAAGAACCAATTTTGATACTTCAGAGAACAGTATCAAAGTAAATTGCACCCAGAAGTACATTCCGAGCAATATTTTCCCCACACGCTGCCAGTTATGCCCGTGCCTTGCCTGTCAATGCCGTGGCAGCTGTGCAGGCTTTCCTGAAAAATGTTATCATCAAGACTGCATTATGATGCAAAATACACGCGGACACCAAAAGATGTAATTCCACCTTTGAACATTTACAATGCTAGCTTACTTGTTTGTGGTGTTTTGGGGTTTTATTGGGGGGAAAGGCTGGGGGAGAGGGAAGAAATAGCAGGTAATGAATCTCTGTTCTTACAAAATGTAAAAAATACAGATTATTCTTTTCTGCCTTTTGCGACCTGGTACATGCCACCCCCCCACCAAAGCAAAAACCAACCAACCAAACAAACAAACAAACAAAAAAATCAGGCAAGCAACAAAGGAAGAAACAGAAAAAAACTGTCTTGTTTCTTGTGGTTTTGTGGTTTTTCAATATTAATAAAGCTAGGAATGGCAGTCCTACAAACTATGGTCTGACACATTTCCCCTGCCTCAGCTACTGCCAACACAGCACCGTGGGGACCTGGTCATTCTAGGGAGAGAGGGATACCCCCTAACAATGTAAGCCCCAAGTGATTCTCCCTGTCACTTTTTAGATCACATTAATAGGACCCATTTCCTTTGTGACTCCAGTGCTAGAAACTTCAAAAAGGCATCTTCACCCATAGTGCCATCTGGCTTTTGATACCTAATTGGGTCTACTTTCTCCATATTTCCCCAAAGTTCCATACTTTCTTTAGAGCTAAGGCTCTGGTTATTAGACAGTATGTAAAGAAACAGATGGCAGCTCAGAAAGCATGCAAGCCACATCTGCTCTACCTTTTATTCTATTTCTGATTTCACTCATAAAAGGCTCCATTACAAATGCTCATCCAGTTTACACCTACCTCAACAGGTACTGGGCAATTATACTACTCTACAATGATGACTCAAGTGAAATAAAATGAGCCAGTCAAAATGGTCAAGACGTTGAGAACCAATCAAAGTGTGCAAGAGCACTTCACCTGTAAACATACACGTGGGAGCACACACATGTGCACATCCCATGTATGCATAGTCATGAAGGTAAAGGCAGGTGGAAACATATACCTAGTGCCTCTGCATCACCAAGTTCTTCACCCACAGAGTGGACACAGAGTCCTCATCTTTCCTCAGGTATAAAAGATTTCCCTGGGGGCCTGTGGGGGTGCTCTCCTTTGACACTTCCCACTATACCATTAAGTACACCAAAGTAACATTATGGGGACATTTCCCATCAGCAAATTCAGCCTTACCCCACCAGCCATCAGAATGAGTGAGAAATGAAGAGAAAGCAAGAATGTGAAATCCCCATCCTGATGCTCTTTCTACCATTCAGATCAAACCTGGACTCCAGGGAAGAATCAGCTACAGGGAAATGGAAAGAGAAGTAAAATAAGAGGATTCTTAGCTTTTGAACTTCTATGGATCCACGTTCTAGTGATTTAAGGGAAATGTTAAGAATTTGAATGGCGGTTTTGGCTGTATGAAGTCCACCTTCTCACAACCCCAATACACACACACACACACACACACACACACACACACACACACACTATAGCTTTGTAGGCAAGAATCTTGTGGGAAAGACTAAAAGCTGCTCACTGATTAGCTAGCCCTCCCCAGGATGGTTGTGGACTGCTGGGATTTGAGAAAAAAAAATGAATATCACCTCATTTATGATGAGTTTCTGCTAAAGAAGATTTCATTACAATCCTAGTCTGAGGCCAAAACTCCAGCTAAGCCTAAAGCAAACATTAAGCTTCCCCAATGGAGTCTCCTGGGGGCCATGCAGGAAAATCCAGATGACTCTACCAATAGCCAAAACCTTCCTCTTCAGGGACACTTTGCCAAGATCACCTTCTTCAAAATGGAAAGTTCAATAAATCCTTAAAGTAAAACCCTTGACTTGCAACAATTCAATTTGTCCACAATAAAGTTATATTATAATAACAAGTTATTTTGTTTCCCTAATTATGATGTGAGAATTCTGAGGGATGTTTGCAAGGCGGTAACATTCATCTCTTTATATTTTAAGTGGTTCTCATGTTCCTCCTTTGTACTGAAAACTTTTTCCTTTTCCTCCATTCAGACAGTTCCTTCTTCCTTCAAGCCTCAACCCAAAAGTTTCCTCTTCCAGGAAGCCTTCTCTGATATTTGTTCTTTGGCATAGTTGTTACTACACTCTGTCCCTACCTCACTGCTAACCCTTTTACGACAAGGATTATGCTTATTTTTCTATGTGTATTCATGCTTGGTACAGTAGCTGGACTTAGCAGCTGTTCAGTTAAAGTCGTAGAATAAATGGACCTATAAGACTACAGGAATAGTAATTAGAACATCTAAAGAATTCCACCTCTAATCCTACTGATATCTTTTTAAGGTTAGGTATTACTGTACACACTCCACAGATGGGGAAATTGAGGATCATAGACATGAAGCATCTTGAGCAATTCTACAAAGAAAGCATAGCAAGCAGGACTCAACCTCACAAAAGGGCTTACTCCAAAACCAAGATTTCTTTTACTGTCTCACCTGTCTCTTGGAAATCCATAAGAAGATGAGAAGTCTTTTGGCCCAATGCAGCAAGTACAAATGCAAAGTTTTGGTCTCCATAAATCAGGGCTGCTTATAAATTTAAAGTTTAAAGTAACAGAAGGAATATAACATGAAATAGATGACAGCTCGTGAAAATGAAACATTTCACTGATTCTTTACATCATTTGTGCCACTAAGAAGTTTCTACTGGTTATGGATAATTGCTGACATTCACTGAACATCTACTATGTACTAGACACTGCACTCCATTTTATACCTGCTTTTCCTTATTTCATTATTCCATTATTGTCTTCATTTTACAGATGAGGAAATCAGAGGTCGAGATTGGAATAATCTGCCCAAGGCCACACCACTGATGAGTGGTAGATATTTGATTCTAAGAACTTTCTCTTCTTGATCTGCTCTTCTAAATGGATAAAGAGCCTGGTGAAGATCAAGTGCATTCTCAGATTTGCTGGATCCTGGACAGGTCATGTTGGGTCAAAGATGACCCAGGGTTGGATAGGGGCAGCGCTTCCAGTTAAAAGGCTCCCTCCCCTTCACTTTTCCATTCCCTGAATCATTTGTCTTAGGAATGATCTGTACTTTTATAATCATAAAGCCTTCAATTAAGCAAGTAGCTAAGTACACAAATGCATAGTTATGAACTCAATCTATTTCCATTTGCACTTAAAAATATGCTAGGAAATTTTTTTTTTCCTGTGGGTGCATGAAATAAGCAAATGCCAAGATAGAGAGTGAAGTAGATAATATTATAATGACCCGGCTCTGTTTAACAAGGGTGCATCATTTCACTTAACAGGGTCTAATAAGGCAGAGCAGCCACGCCACCGGGCTTCCCTGTGTCTGCAGCGTTACTAATATTCTATACAACGCCAAATCTCCCTCCTGAGATCCCTCGGAAGGATGCATGATGGCAGAGCTCGTGTATGACATTCATCTTCATGAGTGAGCTGTTCCATCTCCTCTCACGAGCGGAGATAAATGTCAGAAGAGATCAGCCGTTGTGTATTACATGGCCACTCTGAGCGTGCAGCTTCCCTCCCTCTGCCCTTCAGCAGCAAAATTACTTTGGGCCAGAGCTGGGAAAGGATTTGAAAAGGTGTGAGGCTGTGTACGTTAGAGGGAGACGCAGGCCGCAGGGAAGTAAATAAAGCAGAAACAGAAACTGCCCTTGCTTACTCTTATGAGAGGCATGGAAAAATGAGTCTACTCGTTTATGTGCTTCCCTTCCAAAGATCTCTTTTGCCTTCTGGCCTACTGGTCCACAGGTGGGTGGGAAAGGGGGATGGGATGGAGGAAGAGAGGGGGTTCTGGGGGAGGGGCAAGATGGACAACTGGAACAACTGTTCAAAGGTGAAAATACTAGAATTTTTCCTTGAGCATATTATGATCTAAGTACTAAGAAAGAAATTCAGTGGTCTTAAGGTTTAATAGGAGGATTGACACCACTGTGTCATGCCATCCAAGTCAACCTGATGTGATACATAACTATAAAGGAAAGTGCAGTAGAGCAATCTTAACCATTCTTCTCTGCTATTTTCCAGAGCTGGAATATGAACAACACATTACATTTTACATCTCTGGTTTTCATGTGTCAGGAAGTTGAATATCGATTGCTGTATGGGAAGAGATCCACACCTCCCTCATTCTTTTGCTTTTAACTTCTGGCAAGGTAGTTAAGTTTGCAGAAGCCTACTTTAGTGGATTTACAGATTATATTTCCTAAATTAAACTAAACTTCACAATATAGACTATTGGCTGTTGTTTTTTAATTCTGCTTAGAAGCCATAGATTGATGATAACATCAAATTTCAAGCACCAAGGACCCCCAAAAATGGAAGAAGGGACGTGGCCTATCTTCTACTTTTCACACTTCCTCTTTCTCAAAGACTCTTATTGTATAAAAACAATATCTGGTAGACTAACAAGATCTGGTAGACTAACCAAAATCTTTCAGAATTACACAAAAGGCTATCAACAACTGTATTTTTCATGGGAGACCCTAAGGATACAGAATGTCCTGAGTTATCAATAGAATAAAGACATAACCACTGGGTAGGTATTTACAATCATTATTTGTTCCATCTTTTTTCAGCATGTATAATTTTAACTTTTTGCATGTCATCCAACGTATATATTAGTATAATAATGCATATGTAATGATTAAAACAATTTATGAACAAATCTATATTAGAATTACATGCATGAGTATATTTTATTAAAACAGGAAGGAGACCACTTTCTAACTGATGACGATCAGACTCACAAGGCTGTCAACCCATATCCATAACCAATCACTACTGTTGTCTCATTGAAGGAAATGGATATCCCATTTCTCTGAGTGTTTTTCCTCATCTTCCCTTCTGTGTATGTATACGTACTCAGGCACAATGAGCACCCTGGCACCCCCTTTAGAACATGGCACTAAATCTGGGAAGTTAATAGCACAATAGAAATACAACTTCTGAGTTTCTGATGACATGCTGGAGACAGAGAAATGGGGAGATAAAGTTCTCTCAAATTAATATGCTGGAGAGAATAAAGGCAGGGATGAAGCAAACACATCTTCTAGAATAGATCAACTCAAAGACTGTAATGGGTAAATGGGGAAAAATATGTTATATAATCTAAGGCATTCTATAGTAGGGAGAAATGTCCTGAGCTATAGTTTAATAGAGACACACATCTATCCTGTTGTTAAATCACATTATTGGAAATATGTTAACACAATGTGGTGAGTAATTGTAAAACAAACTACGTTACAATGTAGCAATCTTATCCATTCATCTCTGTTGTATTCATGACTGCAATATGAAAAATGAATTACATTACACATTCATGGTTTTCATGTTACCCCTCTGTTGCTCTTTAATCACAAAACAATTGTCTTGTTAATGAGTCTAACAGCTATTAACATTAACTTTGGCTTTCCTCAGGCCAAGGCTCTGTTTTTGGATGAGGGGCTTCTTTCTTCCCTCCCTTTTTGGCAGATGTTTCTTCTCCTCAAGGCTGATCCTTACTCCCTACCTCCCAGATGAACAGCCTCCAGGGAGAGTTGTACTCCCCTGGGAGAAAATACTGAGTGTTGTGTTTGTCCAATTTCTTACTAAACTCCAGATCCAAGCAGGCAGCAAGCCAGGTCTTTCACGTTTTTTTAGGGTGACTATGTTCACAGGACATACCAAGGTTCAAATTTAGGCTTTCATTATTTTTCCATGCAGTTGTTGGCTTCTACCACTTTGAGATGATTTTTAGTCTAAATCTCTTTAGAATGTGAAAAGATTCTGAGAGTTTCTAGATATGGAGGCCAGAGAGTAATTGCCATAAAAGTGAATGGGAAACCAACAAAATTATACTTTGCTATTGTTCTAAAGAATATAATGAAAATACCACTCAGGTCCATATCCTAATACATCAAGGACTGAAGACTGCCATCTCTTTTATTACAAACTATAAGTCAGCCCAGATCTGTTTTTAGACCATACTTATCTCTATGGTGGTTTTTGCCTTTGTGTCTGATAGATAGGAAAGGTCAGGAATTGTGTTGCTCTATCAGTGCTCCTGTACTCAGTCTCAAAAGCCAAAAGGCATGAGAGACTATATTCTCTCTCTTTTTAATCATAATAACAATTATAAACTCTAGAATGTATGATAATACTTTTTTAGGGCCCTCTTGTAATATCAGAAGGTGATACAACTTGCTTTATCCAATAAAACAAGTGCTAGCCTATCAGTTTTGATAGAAAACTAGCAATGAGCTAATAATTAATTACATATTTCCTGCTTGTCCTAACAATTCCAATCCTTTTTCTTTCTTATGAATTTGTATTTTATTTTACATCAAAAGAAAATATACAAATGAACAATTCGTGGGTTGAGAATCCATTTTTTTTATCAAAAGATATGGATAATTTAAATTTCATTACAACTTCACAGAATAAATTGATGAAACTGGCTACTGATCAAGGATTGAACGTGAATTCTAGAAAGGCTCCCTATTTTATTTTTTCCAAAACCTCATTTTGCTGTGGAGGAACAGTTGCTTAAGTGTACCTGTCACATATCCACTCCCATCTACTTTGGAAAACTGAAGCACAGGATGAGTAAGAATAGACCAGAACATCTCAGATTTTTTGTTTCCTGAGATACATAGAAAGAGGTAAAAATGGAGGCCTGATGAATTAATCACCGGTTGCATCTGTACAAGCTCTAATATCCAACAACAAGGTCTAAGGGTTTTGATGTGTTTACATGAGGATAGGTCACTTCTCCAAAAATTGAAAAATTTCTTGGGTTCTACTGTAGGTGCCATTTAACATGCTTGCACTTCTGAAGGACAGAGCATTTGTCACTGGGACAGGGACAGATGGCTGAGGTTTTTAAGACCAACATAGAAGAGTAGGAAATTGAGAAAGAATGAAAGATCAGAGAAAAGGAAGCAAGCAACACTCTAACTTACTTGTAATAACAGATTTCATAGCCCATCCGTATCCAGGTGGGTCTGCCAAGAAGAGCCTCCTTCACAGAATACAGAGTTGGCTGCATCCCTGCACAGAACAAAGGCAGGATTAATCACTGGGGGGAGGGGGGGACATCTGGGTGGCTCAGTCAGTAAAGCGTCAGGACTCTTGATTTTGGCTCCAGTCATGATCTCAGGGTCGTGAGATGAGATTGGGCCCTGCACTGAGCTTCACACTCAGTGGGGGTCTGCCCGAGATTCTTTTTCCCTCTCTCTGTGCCCCTATACTCCACACCTTAAAAAAAAAAAGTATTAATTTCTGGGGAAAGAGAAAAGGGAAAGAGAGCTTTCATGAGCTGAATCATAGCCCTCCAAGTATCCAGGTCCTAATCCCTGGAACCTGTGAATGGTGCCTTAGATGGCAAAAGGATTTCATTGATATGATTAAGGATTTTGAGATGGAGAGATTATCCTGGTGGGCCCCTAAATGCAATCACATACCTTCTTATAAGAGAGAGGCAGAGGGAAAAGCAATGTGACTGAAGCAGAGGGAGATTGGGAGATACTACACTGCCAGCTTTGAAGACAGAGGAAGGGACTATGAACCAAGAGATGCAAGGACCAAAGCTCTCAATGCTGGAAAACAAAAACCAAAGAGAAAATCCCCTAGATATTCCAGAGGGAGCATAGCCCTTCCAGCACTTTGGCTGTAGCCCAGTGAAACTGATTTTGGACTTGTAGACTCTAGAACTTTAAGAGAGTACATCTGTCTTGTTTTAAGCCACCAACTTTGTGACAATTTGTTACAACAGCCACACGGAACAAATGCAAGAGTCACGGTTCATATTTTCTCTTTCTACATTAGTAAGTGTCTATTTAGTCAGTGTAAAATAGAGTCAGTACCCTGTGCTCAGACCTAGAGATATGGGAATATTCATTCCTTACTCAAAGCCACTCAATAAATTAGTATACAGTTCAGCAATAACATGCAGAATTTTCCATTCTTGGAAATATTCAAAATAAATGTAGCTGCCAGTCCATTTGTCCCTCAAAATTCTCTTCCAAAATGGCCACAGGGATTCAGGAGAATTTTAACTTTCCCCATATTTTCTTAGAGTGTAAATCAATGTCATCCAATTGGTTTTGTTTTTTTTTTTTCCTTTCTGGGACAAATAGATCAATATCCTTGCTACTGTAGGATTTAGGAGATGAAGAGAAAGACTGAATGAGAGGTTCTCATGGACCTCAAAAAGTTCAAGGTAGGGCAGGGTAATCAGGAAGCAGGAAGTAATGCTATGGCATGCATGATATTAACATTCTGCAACAGAGGGAGGACTTCCAGCTTGCCTTCAGTGGTGGCAGTTTGCCACAGGTTGGCCACCATCTTGCCACACATGGCAACCAAAGCATTCAGTCCAACTTCACACTCAAACAGGACTTTGGGTAATAAGCCAAGCAATCACAGAGGAGCACCATTCCTGGTGTTAGCTAGAAGATCTAACTTCTAGAACTTCTAAAAGATCTAGAAGATCTTGGGTGTTAGCCCAAGAGCTCATACCGTAATTAAACTGGCTGTTGGGCTTCTCACAGTTGATGATGTTGAAGCGGTAAGGGACGGCAGCTCTCATGCCGCTCACCTTGAAGTAGAACCACTGCTGGTGCTGGCTGCTATTCACATCAGTGTTGACCAGCAAGTCATATTCCCTCCTGCAATGTCAGAAGCAAAATTGGAGGGCCACAAGTCTTTCAGGCAGGTTCCAAAACTGAGAATCTATACCTCTCAGGTTCCGGATGACAGATCTAAGACCTAGCATGTCAGTTGGCTGGTAAATTACAGTGATTGTGCTCATCTCACAATATTGGACACACAAGCTATAGAAATTTGGGGAGATGGAAGCAGGTTCTTGGTGTTAGGAGAATCAGTTACACAAACACAGTATATGTTTTTATTAAACTGTGATGAATTCTCTCTCCAGAGAGAAAAATGTGAGTGTGCAGATGTGAGTGTTTCCAGAGAAAATTCAATCACATCTGGTTGGGTAGGCCATTACTATTTAATGCACACATTACTTTTGAGAATCAGTCTCCTCATATGGAAAATGGAAATAGAGTCTAAACTTGCAGTGCTATTTGTAAAAATTAAGTGGTATAGTATATGTAAACCCCCAGCAAAACAACAAATATGAACTAGGCTGGCAATGCTAGAGTTGTGTGTTCATTCTGTAACTTTTTAATTGATTTAATTTTCATGCATTTTAAGTGGACAGCTCAGTGAATTTAAATAAATTCATCTGGATACTCCTGTTTGATCCAGATCAAGGTACAGGACATTTCCACTGCCCCAGGAGACTCTTGGTGGGACTGCTCTCAGTTACTATCTGCAAAGCTAATCAGTTTTTTTGAGCTGTAGCAACAAAATTAACAATGCAGTTTGGATTTCAACATTATTATCAGTATATTAAATTTTCAAAAATATTATTGCTCCATCCCCTTGGCATGTCTTTGAGTTCCTCCTCTAAAAGGGTCATGTTTTTGCCCTGATCTGTTCACACTCTGCCACGCTGGACCCCTCCAGTGAGATTTGTGGAAGAGTGGAGCTTTGCAGAAGGCATGTCAGAGCAGAGTAGAGCTACCTGATGGAGGCCCACTGCTCACACTGTTACTCTAAGCATTCCATTTGAAACATTGAGCCCAACATACAATAAATGAAGCATAATCCACTGAATGATGCTCATAAGGACAAATCCAGAAAGACTATGGCCATCACACTGTCTGCTATGCCCACCATCCTCTCCAAAAACTGGCTATAAAAACTCCTTACTTAAAATTAGGTTTGTTTTCTGTCATCTGACTCTGTTACCCTGACTTTAACTAATGGGTTTAGGATTCTACACTCTGGCCAAAAGTAGATATGTGGAGAGAGAGACCAGAGCAAGACCAGTGGTGCAGGCACATCTTGGGCAAACCACTGTCCTCCAAGGAGACTCCTGATTAGGTTTTCTCTCCCGGATCCCTTAAACATGATATAGAGGAAAGAAAGAGTAATAAGAGCAGTCGCCATGGCAAGAAGTAGAAGCTGATCTGGCAACAGAAAAAGAAGGCGGCTGAGAAAGAATCTTAATGTAACTGCCTTTCCCATCTTCAGCCCATGTGGTTCAACTTGTATTTGTTTTATATGTCAGGCTTCCTTGAAATATTTCATGTACAAAACAAATAAATGACATCATCAGAGAGGGAGAAAAAATATGAGAGACTCTTAACTATAAGAAACAAACTGATGGAGGGGAAGGAAGTGAGAGGATGGGGTAACTGGGTGATGGGCATGAAGGAGGGCACATGATGTGATAAGCACTGGGTATCACATGCAACTGATAAATTATTGAACACTACATCTGAAATGAATGATGTACTATATGTTGGCACACTGAAATAAATTTTTTTAAAAATGAAAAAGGATCACTGCTCGTGTACACCCCCCACCCAAGAAAAGAAAAATTCAAAAATGACTCCTCAGATAGATATAAAACAGGCTGACCTATGAAGTTCTGTGCTCTAGTTATGGAGAATATGCATCCCTGAAGACAAGTTAATGTCGACTGAGTGCTTACCATGTGTCAGGTACTATTCTAAGAGCATGATATGTTTTTAGCTAACTCTCCTTAAAAAAACAAAACAAAAAAAACAAAAAAACTATGATATAGGTGCTATCACTGTATCCATTATCTGGGTAAGGAAAAAAAGGTCTGGAGTATAGTCAGGTGATTTCTCAAAGTCTTTTGGTGGGAATGGGATGAGGTTACCCTGGCATTCTGCTTCCAGAGTCTGTGGCCACCACACCATTAATTGTTCTGGATCACTGTCTTCAGGAGTTCACATGTATAAGATGGATTACAAATCCTGATTTTTGGCATATGAGAAATATAGTCCACACTGGTAAAAGGAAAGAATTATAACATAGCAGTCTCTTCTGCACTAGAAATTTTTGTTTTTCCTCTCCTTTTTTAGTTTGTACAGCCTAAGACTTTCCTTTCCTGTGAAATACTTTTTTATTAACAAGAGGTCATTGAGAGATTCTGGCAGAGAGGCATGGCACTGTACATGCCCTTGAATGAAGAATAACACATCTCTCCAGGGGGAGCCCAGTGTTCTTGCTGACTCCATACACAGCTATGGGAGCAACAGACATGAAAAGGTACAGGACCAGGGGACCTCATATACCCTGCTGCATCAACAGAACCAGCCCTGACATCAACATAAGTACAAACGTCCCAGTCAAAGGACTCCCACACCCAAGTATGGAGCCATTATTTGGAATATAGGTGCACCCACAACATTAACCTCTAGTTGCCACCTTGCCGTGGCATCAGCTAGTGGTCCCCTAGTGGTGTGCTGGTAAATGTTTAACAACGGACTCAGAGAAGAAAACCTTCATTTGTAGTGTTTGCCAGTTCTCAGGGTATAAACACTCCCACCATGCCTGATTTCAAATGACCAATGTGAGACTGCTGTACAGAGAATAGAGAGGAGAGGGGCACAGGAGGAGGAGCTGAGCTCTCCTAAGCTGCCAGGAGCTACCTTTGTGCCTTCCTTACTTACTCACGCACTTGGATGGCTTTGCGAAGATTTCCTGACTCAAACTCGGAGGAAAACTGCAAACAGTCGGAAGCAGTGTCTTGCAAAGACCTGTAATGAAATGGGAAACATGTGAACACATGCATTACTGCTATTCTTGGGCATAGCCTGACATTTCTTTGAGATAAGCTTTTTCTTACAGATCTTCAACATGAATTCTCATCATGTTTTTGAGAGAAGGGTTGGATTACTAACATAAAACATTCTTATTCTTATGTCATTAAGAGGATATTCCATACTCCACCCCCATCTTCCACATTCCACTGATGCTCAAGACCACCTACCAAGGCTCATCTAAACTGAAGACAACTTTATTTATAACATCACATGGCTGGATAAGCCTTTGGACATCCTCAAATATCTTGATCCTGGAAAGGAAAATTGGAAACATGTTAACAGTTGACCCTAACTCCTTACCCCATTCATCCTATGGTGATCTGGGAAGGGCTTTGGGAGTCATCAGAGAATGATGAGAGAAAAAATAAAAAATGCCCCAACCTGGGGAATAAAAAGTGGAAAAGGTACTGGCTCTCCCTCCTTTTTTTTTTCCTTTATCAAAAAATGAAACTACACTGAGCAGTAGGAATGTAGGAAGAGTGAGGCCAGGTTTTAGTTGGAGGAATTCTGACTTGAAGGAGAATTTGTTTCAAGAGCATTTGGACTAATGGACTCCAAAGGTTTCTGGAAGTGAGAGTAAGGGATCCTTTGCACTGAGACAGTTTTGAGGGAGACTAGGATTGCTGACTGTTATCATCCTCAAGGCCTGGTAGGATTCAGGAAGCCTCTGAACTCCTGGGTCATTTATATGCCTTGGGTTGTGTCATCTCCAGAAAACTAAGGTCAATCCTCTGTCTGAGAAGCACCCATATTCAGGAGATATAAGTAAAAGGTCAGAAGGAAGCCCCAAGGGATCTTTCAGAGTCCCTCCTTGAATTTCCAACCCATGTGTTTTGGGTAGAGTGGGAGAAGGGAAGGGAGGTAGACATGAGGCCTGGACTCAAGGGGAAAATGTTCTGTTAATGTGGGGAAGTATGGCTGGGCCAGCCTCTGGGCCATGTCTCTCAGGAACTTGTAAGGTCAGAGATGTCAGCAGAAGCCCAAGGGGAGCAGCTCTTGGGATCCACTCTCAATTTACTGATTAAATGGAAAATAAGTTAATGAAACTTTCTGGTATGCACACTTTGCTCCACTGAATTAGTGCATGCATACTCAATGCTTTGTTTGTTTGTTTTCCAGGGGAATTCATTCTTCCTTGGCTTTAGCAATTTTTATTTGAATCTCACTATGTTGATCCCAAGGCAAAGCTTTCTTTCCATCATTCTGGGAATAACCCATCACCCAAAGTTTCTATCCTGGAGAATGTATATTTTCCTTAAAATCTTCAGTGGTAAAGCAACCAAGTCAGATTTTATAATGTTGGGACTGTGAGATAGGGGTCCACCACCTCCATTCATTAGCAAGAAACCAGATACCAATTCACTATGAATTGAAAAAAAAAAAAAAGAGCAATCCCAAATAATCCACACTTATTTTTGCTGAGAACCTTCCTTTGAGAAATGATTCCAATATTTGGAGAAACCAGGTTATCTTTCCCTGTTATGATCTGTAATGTGTTATGGGATACAGGGTTGCATTAGAATCATAAAGGGGTTCTTCTTCTGGCAACACACACCTACCACTATCCCACATTTGGTTCTGACATGTCAGGTGTAAGGAGGCAAGCTTCTGCATTTGGCAAAAGTTTCCCAAAGGATTTTAACATGTTCCTGATGGATTCTCACTTTCCTGAGATAGCAGAACTCTATGTACAAACCATTTCACCTATAAAAATATTGAAGAAGAGAAAAAATATGGCTTCCAAATCACCTTTGGACTCCACGTTTGCGTTCCAGCATTGACTGGGCAGAGGGAGGTGGACAGTGACCCCAGAAGTCTGGAAATGCCATCATCTTGAAGTTAGCCACAGATCTGGTTCTTCTGGATTTGGCCATATAAAGATGGGGGTCATGGAAGGGGAGGTGCTTGGGATGTGTCTGCAGAAGTTTATCTACTACTTCAGCAGTTTCTGTAGGCCTAGCAGAATTGGAAAAGGAGGCACTTATCGATGGGCAGGAAATCATGTCTATATCCCAAGCATCCTGTTTGAGGGAAACTTGAATGTCAGGAATTTTTTTGCCAGAAGAATCTATCCCAAGACCACTTGATTGCATGTTTTGGTATGCGTTCATCCCAGGGCCTTTTTTGGAGGCTGGATGCATGGTGGACCTCCCCATCTTCACCATGCTCAGAAGGGAAGTCTGGACCATGTCTTGGCTTTCCTGCCTCCAGGAACTTTGGTCCTTATTCAAACAATGCTGCTTTGGAGAGGTCACAGTCGGAATGTGGGAGTGCTTGACATCCTGAGTCTCTTCAAAGTGCAAATCATCTCCAGGTTTAGACTCAAGTTCCTTCAGGTTTAAAATGGAAAAGAATATGTCAGTGTTGCCTCCCTGGTAGAAAATACAACTTGACCCCTGACCTCACTTTCTGGGCACAGAGTTATGCATAAATCCTGTGAATTAGGAAGCTTTTTCTAAGGTCAGACAAGAAAAGGCAAAGTTTCAAGAATCAAATAAATGGTAGAATCATAGAAACTCACGTGTGGAAGGTGCATTGGGTGGGTCTAGTACTATTCTATATAGCACACAAATGCCCTCTGGAACACCCCAAAAAGTTACAGCCTGCTTGAACAAACTCATTTACAGGGTTTTCATTACACCCCAAGGCAATGTCTTTCATTTGAAGATCATTCTGAATGTTTTTGTTTTTGATTTGTTTTTTAAAGGCTTCCTTACACTGAACTGAAATTTCCTTCCCTGAAATTTTTACCTTCTGGTCCCCTTCGGCCTTTTGAAGTAAAATAGAATATATTGCCTCCCTTCTACATGGGATTTAGCTGGTACCCTTAAATGTGGGCAAATTCATGATATATTAAGAATCCTAAGAAAATAATAGATATCCAAAGTCAGGTCTAAAATCCTGACAACAGCAATAGTAGTAGGAGCAGCAACTAGCCACTATATCACCAGGTGTAAGGTTCTCATTTGTTTCTACTAACAAAATCCCAGAAATTGGACTAGCCACTCTCAGAAAGCCACTGTTCATGGGAACAAGAATTTGATTTTCACTGAATAGTGAAACAGGGGAACAAGAATTTTCATTGCTTTTTCAGGATGTGAGGGCAAGACACTTTGTCAATAGGTGGTGATGTGTACCATTATCCTGCTTCCATCTAGGGGCCAGGTGTCCAACTATAGGAGCCTTGCAAGCATCCAGTCCAGCCACCTTTTTCACATTTTGCTTAGCCTTCTGCTTCTCTCTCTCAGAAAGACCCCAGAAGCAGATTGCTAATGATGAGCAATGCTCTCCATCTGGAGACCTCCTGCTTGGCCTCTCCAGTTCTGCAAAGAACCCATCATGCATCACCATGGAGCAGAACCACGGCATATGCCATACCTCGAAGTTGCAGGAGAGCTCAACACACATTGCCTCATACTGCATCAGTTCCTCTTCGGGTCGGTCAAGACCAGGTTTGGACGTCAGCTTGTTCACGTCTGTTTCCAAGTCATCATCCTACAATGGGATATCCAAATATATATATATAAGCTACATATGTGATTTTTCAGAATCATGGGACATGGTTTCCTTGACTCCAAATTATACTGCTAGCCTTTGCAAAGGAGAATTTAAGAGGTTGGGTTGTATTTTGTGAATGAAAAGAAAGAAGGTATACAACTTTTCTCAGCATCCATCTCAGGATTTATCAGCCCTCGCTGTAAATAACTAATTTATATAAAATTAGTAAAACGCAACATGAAAGAATTCTCTATCTTGCCACCACCACCATCAACATAATTGTAATCACTGTATCTATTCTTCTATCCCCCTTCCCATATCGGCCCCTCAGTATTCTCAAAAACACTTAACAAGCACCTGCCATTTTGGGTATTGAAGAGTTAGTAATAATGGAACAGACAAAGGTAGATGTTCCCATGGGATCTGTCTTCTAGTGAGAGAAGGAAGACAGAAAACAAATGAAGAAAGTCTTTTCCAGTGGTGAAAATGCCATAGAAATACTGAGGGGGGCAGTGGGATTGTCAATGAGATGGGGAGGCAGTGTGGAAGTTGTTTAGATTGGGTGACCTGAGACCACCTTGCTGAGGAGGTGACATTTTAACCAGAACAGTGGGGAAGAGCAGTAGATGTTGGCTTCCAGTAAGAAAATAGCTGCAGCTCAGAGAATAGGAGGATGATCACAGGAGTCAACATCCAAGAAGGAGGACTTAGGCAGAGCCTCCCAGACCTGGGGAGGGGTTTGTCACTTCTTGCTGTCCTTTACCTCTTTGTACATTTACATTCACCCTGTCACTATGGGTCTTTTCTTCATTGGGCTGAATAATCACAGAGCCTTTATTTTTGTTTCTAGATCATCATTTCATGACAGTTTAATGGTGAGGGTGATTCTCCTCCCAACACCTCTTATTTTCCAGAGATTATAAAGTCTTCAAAGAAAGAACACCAGGAATCAACCAGTCCAGTCTTCTCATCTTTCCATGTCTCTCTTGGACCCAGTTTCCCTAATGAAGTAGGAGAGAAAAACCTACTTGTGTATTAGGAGAATATTTGCTTAGTTAAGGAAAAACCTGGTGATTCTGAAGGCCTGGATTAGTCTTCTTTAAGTCCAATAAATATGGACAATAAATGTTTGTATTATCAACCAGGGTATGAGGAGGAAAGAAAATGCAACATTTTGTTCATCTTCTGGAATTTTCCTCCAAACTTTAAATTAAAAGAGAAATAGACTTCATAAGGTTGATTTCATGGTATTTTCAGATACAGTGCACACCAGATCTAAACTCCTTCACCTGGTTCTAGAGATCCCATCGGTCTTGTCCTTTGCAGTTCTATCTATCAGTTCCTGCTTGCTCCCACCCTCTTGGCTGCAGCCTGAGCTATGCCCCAGAGTGGTACCAATGAAAACACAGTCAGGCTACTGAGAAGAGTCTCCCCACCAGCAAGTAAGGTTGGTGTGTCTGGAGTGAGGAGCATCAGCTAGCCCATGAGCTGCAGCCTAATGCATTCTACATGTGGCTAGGTAACCTACTTAGCTTTACAGCAAGAGTTGACTAACTATAACCTACTTTTGTTTTTGCAAATAAAGTTTTATTGGAACACAACCACACCCATTCCTTTATGTATTGTCTGTGATCGGTTTCTCAGTATGACAGCAAAGTGGAGTAGTTGTAACAGAGACCATTTCTGGTCCCCAAAGTTCTGTATCTTGGTCTCTGAATCTCTAGGCACTAAGGTGGGTTCTTCCCTCTTTCTGTATTGCTTATAAATACCATTTATACTTATTCAGGGATGTGCCTGCTTCTGCATCCTCACAGCAACCCACATAGGCTTCGTCATTTAGGATTCTGGTACCCATCTAATCCAGATCATGATTTCTGGCCCTTCTTCCTATAGTAAGACCCTTTAGATGTTGTTGACTCTCTCCAGTCTTACACTTAAGCTCACCACCCTTTGGAAGATGGTGATTTGAACTCTGGTAGGGACAATCGCCAAGTTCATTAGACTGAAAATCCTTTGAAGATAAAAATCTGTGTTTTGTTTGCTTTTGCATCATATCACCATCCCCAGGAATTTAGCCTGCTGCCTCCCACATGTATCATGGCCAAGAAAGTACCTGAAAGAAACAAAAAACTAAAAAGGAAGAAAAAGAGGGAACAAAGGAAAGGAGAACTTGAATTCATTCTGTTATCCTCTTCTTCAGAGTTTGTCCATATCTAATGGTTGTGTTCATGAAGAATAAATAAATAAATATATGTAATAATATATATATAATATAAATTTTGTATATATATAGCCATGGCCAACATCTGATCTGTACTTCTTGTAAGTTTCTCTCTTATGTTGACACTGAGTTTTCAAAGAAAGGCGCCCAACTTTCCATTCTTAAGACCCTTTACAGACAAAAAGTTCCTTTTCATCCTTCTTTCTAAACAGCTGATCCCAATTATTAACTAAGATTTTTCAAATGAAAAGGCCATCAGTTAACGGCCTGGATCAGATCTATAACCAGAAACAAATATTCCTGGCTTCTTGCCCACATTTCTTACAGCAAATGCTTCTGGGTTCACAAAGGAAAAATCAGTTTGCTGGAGTGCTGGTTCCCTTGCTCTTTTGCAATACCCCAGAATCAAGCCGTGATTCTGATGTGCCCCATTTCTCTATAACTCATGCTCATACACTGACTTCTCATCTTCTTCTTGGCTTGAAGGCTTTGACGAATAATTTCCAGGCCCTGAACAATTTGTCTTGTGCTTCTTTCCCAGCTGGATTTGTTTATTTGTTTTGGTTTCACTCCACCCCAACCCACCATCATCTGCAGCACAGGGAAAAAGGAGACTGTGTGAATGCTCTCCATCCCATGCTGCATGAAGTCAGGCACTGGCATGCAGCTTGTCCTTGAACATCAGATATAGGAGGTGATTGACACTCTTGCATCAGACATTCAGTTATCAAAGAGCAAGTAAGAGGGTAGGGGAAAGTGGCATTGATGAACGATCACCACAGCACAGTATTATTCAAATAATTCAGTGAGTACTCAATCGGCCTGTGCTGCCAAGCCACAGCAAAGATCCAATTTGCTACTGATGACTTCAGAAATGATTCCATTTATCAACAAATCCTGAGAACACTGGAGGGTCAATAGCAGTCTTAACCTAGAGACTGAGAGGGCTGAGCAATAGCCTCTATGAGTCTGCTGCCACCATCTTATGAGGGAGAACTCAGGAAGTCTCTTTCTCTTTAGATAGGTAGGTAGGGAGGAGGGCAGGGAAGAAAAATAGAAGGGAGGGAAGGAAAAGGGGAGGCAGGTGGATGGATGGGTGGATAGATGGATGGATAGATGATGATAGGTAAAAAAAAATAGATGATAGATTTTTTTTTAATTCAGGTTTTATATCCAAGAAGGTTATAAAAAGTAGCATTTACTTCTCAGTCTTATTTTACAGATGACAAAAATAAGGGACTATAATTTGAAGGGGCTGGTCCATGTCCATGTCCACTAACAGAAACAGAAATAGAACTCATAGATACATTATCATTATTCTAGAGCAGTAATATATTGCCCCCCCCCACCCCACCCAAGGACATTTGGCAATTCCTGGAGACATTTTGGGTTCATGACCTGGGTAGATGGTGGGAACCAAGAGGAAGGTGCTACTGGCATCTAGTGAGTAGAAGCCAGGGGATGCTGCTAAATACCCCACGATGCATAGGATATCCCCCCCCCAGCAAAGAATTATCCAGTCAAAATGACAAGAGTACTCAGATTTAGACTTCCTTTTCTAGAAATGCAGTCAGTAAACTATGTCCCATTGCCTGTTTCTTGTCAATGAGAGTTTTACCAACACATAGCCATGCCCTACCATTTACTTATTACCCATAGTTGCTTCTATGCTGTAACAACAAAGTTGAGTAATTGTGACAGAGACTAGGTCCATAAATCCTAAACTAATTACAGTCTGATCTTTTACAGAAATTTTGCTAACCTCCACTCTATATATCATGGGTATTTTGGGATAGAGACCAAAGGGCACCACTCTCCTGCTAGCCAGGGTATACATTATGCACCTCAAGTGAGCACGATTCACATAGATTTGGAGGTAAATAGAAGCATACAACACAGGCTCCTGAGAAGAGTGGGTAGACAAGGAGAGTGACTTGTGAAAATAGGTGAGATCTACCAGAAAACCTTCCCAGGAAAGGTTTTCATGGTGTCTTTGCCCAAATGTCATTCGCACTAATTATACATAGCAATCTGAACTACCAAGGGTCTCTAGAAAGCTCATCCTGACAGAATATTAGTGCCTTGGTAATGGATGGCCTCTGACTCTACAAGACATTGTTCTGGACCTACCAGGATGCAAATCAACAATGGTTGAACACCACTGTCTACCAGGCACTGGATTGGAAGTACAAGTGTGTCCTTACAATTTACACTGCTCTCACTAGGCATAGAGAACCACATTTCCCTCCAGAAGATGTGAATGTGGAGATCACTGGAAGTGAGGGCTGGTGTACCTACCTGCTCTTTTACATCTTCAGAGTCTGAATCTTTATCCACTTCTTCATCAGCATCATCTTCAAAATCCTCTGGGTGCAGAAAAAGGAATAAAATGGATGAGGTTTCCTCCATGCCTTGGATTTGGATTCTCACCATACAGTGGCTAACACTCCTTTTTTGTCATAAATAGGGGCTCATTATGAAGTGCACAATCTCCCAACATGCTTTAATACTTACTGGTACATGCAAATCATATACATATAGGTATGGGGAGCACTATATCATGAAGTCTAAATTTCCCCACATCGAATACAGAATAAAACAGCACATGAATACCATTCTGGATTGCCCCACCCAATTTATGACTATCTATGCAAACATTGTCAAAGTCTAGAAATCACAGGCAAAATTCACTATAATTTAGCACCTTGACTGACTCTCTAATTTTGATAAGACAGGGCTTATTTACAACAAGACACCATAGAAAGCATCCAGTGCCATGTGGCAAGACAATGCCTGTGGAAAATCTGTTCTGTGAAAGGAGGGCAGAGTTGAAAAGCATTAGAATCTTTCTTTTGACACCAAAATCTTCACAGAGATTGAATAACCATACTTTCAAGCATTTAATATGACTAGCATGGGGTTGTAAATAGCAAAAGTTTTATTTCAAGTTCATCCTTAAGGCAAATTAATTCCAGAACCAGTCAGTACAGTAGAGAGCCTCAATCATGGGACTGTGAATACATTTTTAAAAATTAGTTGAGATGACTATACAGGCATTCAATAGCCACCAGGTAAATGGCAACAGTTAATAATTAAGAACAAAATATGTGAGCTTAGTATTTGTTCATTCTTTATATGAAAAGCTTGCTTTTTCATACATTTCTCTAATTAGCTTATTGGACATTTACGGTTAGCCTGTAAAAGCATTGTTTTCTACTTTCATCCACATCACTCTGAAATATTGCCAACATGCAAAACTCATCATAAAGCTCATAGTTACCCACTGAATTTACCTTCGGTTAGAACACATGGAGTTTCAGAAGGGATGCTCCCAGGGACAGAGAAGGTATAAGCACTGGTAGCTGTAACCAAGGGAAGTGTACTCTTTGGGTAGCACTGCCTCAAGATCTGAATTATGATGGAGACGACAGGCTCCAAGTCATTGTCATCCAAGCAGTTCTGAACAAAGAAAAGACCGTATCAGACACTGACACCTTACACAGGGTCCCCTTGTTAGATCAGTGTTTCAGGTAATGAATTACACACATGGATGGTAAAGATCCTTAACGTAGAATGTCTAATTGGAACATCCCTTTTGTCTAATATAGAATCTTCTTTGGCCCGGTGTATAATCTGCATTTTTTTCTCTTTTTCACAGCTCATAGGTGATTGGAAGGAATTTAGTCTGAAAGGAAATTTAAAAGTTTTCCAGAGGATTCTGTGGCTAAGGCAAGACATTGTCCAGGGGAAGAGGAGGTGAGCATCTTCCTTCAGTCATCCAAGTGTCATTGTGAATTATCGCTTAAATTAGAGAATGAGTAGCCGAATTGATGGAAGTCTTACTTTTTCCTTTCAGCTATTATCTGAATAGAAAACCAAAAAGGAAAGATAAAATATGAAATCAGAAAAAAAGACAAAGTGAATCCCAAGTACCTAAATTAAATAACATGCCTCTTCTCAGAGTCCACAGTGTTGATCCCTCTTGGTACCTACCCAAAGCAAAGGAAAATTGGGTTTGCAGATGTAACATTTTGATACTGATGGAACCTGACAAGACCCTTCTTTTCAGACACTTTGAAAAATGCAAAAACAAGTTTACTAAATTGAGAGGGAGCGTTGGGAGTAGTTCAGTAACTCCTTGGCAAAAACTAAGTCATTTTCTTCAGACTCCTAGCAAATGCTTTGTCTACTGACTTCGTACAGAAAGTTGACAAGTGTAAGCTTCCAATTTGATGTTCCTAAGGGGTTCCAAGTGACCTCTAAGGCCACAAGACATAGTAGTAGATATAGAGGATGTTCAGCACCTGCCACAGGAGAGGGTGACTGTCTGTGATGATGCCTTGCTATGGTATCTCCAGGTCATTATATGCAAGCAGCTATACACACACACACACACACACACACACACACAAAGGAGAAAAAATTAAATAAACTTTTAGCCATGAATTCAAATATCCAAATGATTTCAAAACATATTGTTTTAAAGTAAGCCCAACATTCAAATCAGGAATGTTTTAACATAATCAAGAATGCTGGGATGCATGGGTAGCCCTTCCGCTCAGGGCATGATCCTGGAGTCCCAGGATCAAGTCCCACATCGGGCTCTCTGCATGGAACCTGCTTCTCCCTCTGCCTATGTCTCTGCCTCTGTCTCTGTCTGTATAAATAAATAAAATCTTTAAAAAAATTATTTAAAAAAATGTTATTTTCCCTATGTGTGCTCAAATGTTACCCAGGAGGTGTCCTGACCAACAGCAGGAAACATTCTCCATGGGAAATGAATCAGTCCTTCACCTCTGGGACTGGCCCAGTGATTTATAGTGCTTAGGGAAAAGTATTAGTATTGGAAAAAGTGATACCTGAGCATGGGGGAGGAGGAGAAGGGAAATAGATGTCTCATCATGGGTCATGTTCTGAGCTCATTCTTAGGAGGTACAGAGCCAAGGACAAGCCAGGGAACTCAGTCAAAATTACCAGCATTTTAGAAGCCAATTATGTCTGTGATTGCCACCAGTATCATTACTGATGAATGTGACAATAATGTGTTTCACTCTGCTTAAGATGGTACAGGGGCAAAGTGTGAGGAAGGATGGAGGCAAGTGCACCTGTCCTGATAGGTTGGGCCACACTATGAATTGGAAGGATAGAGGGGATATTAAAATCAACAGAAACCAAGGCACTAGGGTTATAGTGAATTACTACCTAAATTAAGTTGGTAGTAAACACTGTAGTAGACACAGTCTGTGGAAAACACTTAGGAACTTTAAAATGATCTTTGCTTCCAAATAATAGAAATGCCTAGACCCATCTGGCAACATTTCCCTAGTGTTAACAGATAGATACTATGGCAAGGCCAGGACGAAGGTGACACAAGGGAAGCACTCAGGATACAAAAATATAAGGGGGTGCTCACTCTCAGCCTCTTGCTATTGCAGAGTTGGCACTTGTTCTGTGTACCAAAGATGACAAGACCCAAAGAAATAGGATCCCTGTGAACACATGTCTCAGAATTGGGGGCAAAGGTGAAAATTTTTGGCTCACTTTTCCCATCACTTCCATTAATACACCTGCTACTTGGAAAAGATAATGAAATATGACAGTGCTTAACATATGCAATTCACAGTTAACATCTTTGAATTAGCTTTGAAATAACAAATACACTACTTCCATGATACATTGGCAAGTGAGAAGAAAGTAACTCCTCTTTATTGGCGGTTTTGCTTTTCCCAGATTTCAGTTACCCAAGGTCAACCACAGTTTGGAAGCTGATGATCCTCCTTCTGAAGTATCACCAGAAGGTCTATCACCTAATGCTACATCTTGGTGCCTCACTTCATCTCATCACGTAGGCATTTTATTATCTCATATCATCACAAAAAAAAGGGTGAGTTTAGCATAATAAGATATTTCAAGATGGAGGGCCCACATTCACATAATTTTTATAATATGATATTGTTGTAATTGTTCTATTTTATATTGTTGTTGTTGGTAATCTTGCTGTGCCTAATTTATAAATTAAACTTTATCATAGGCATTAATGCATAATAAAAAAAACATAGTGTATATGGGTTTAGTACTATCTGCAGTCTCAGATATCTCCTGTGGGTCTTGGAATGTACTGCCCTGGAGAGAGGAGACTACTGTATAGCACACTTCTCAGATCCTGGAGCAAGATCACCTGATTTCAAGTCTTAGGCTGATGATCACTAACAGTATAACCCTGGCAAGTTGCTACACCTCTCTGTGCTGTGGTTTCCTCATCTATACAACAGAGATATTAACAGAACCTCTCTCATAAGGATATGTGTGAATTAGAGTTAAAATAGGCAAAATGCATGCCCAATACTAAGCACTCAGTAAGTGTTTGCTAGCAAGATGTCAGCAGGCATCACTAAGCTCCTAAAATCACCTAAGAATCCAAAAGGAGATCCTAGAAGGCCACTGCTACTCAGTACAGAGCCCAGGTAATGACCATTACAATAAGAAAATAAGACACTTTAATGGGAAAGTCCAGGAATCCCAGGCTTAACTTCCAGTTCTCCCAACTCAGCGTCTCTGCCCAAGCGCCCGCGGGCTAACCCCCACCTTGCCCTCCAACCCTTCTCTCCTCCCTCCTTTGCCCTCAGATACTCTCCTGCCCAAATGGCAGCCAGAATGGTCCTTTAAGGTCATAAGTCAGTTTAATGGGTATAGAGTTTCAGTTTTGCAAGATGAAAAGAGGTCTAGAGATTGGTTATGCAACAGGGTGGATGTACTTAATACTATCAAACTGTACACTTTAAAATGGCAAAGATGGCCAACTTTATGTTGCACAAATTTTATCACAATTTTAAAAAAGCATAAATTATATCAGGTCATTCTTCTGCTCCAAACCTGATAGAAATAAAATCTGCATTTCTCTTCATGGTCTAGAAAGTTCTTCCCTCCTCTTTTTCCTCATCTTTATCCTCCCTCTCCTCCTCCTCCTCCTCTCGCCTCTCCTCTCTCCTCTTCCTCCTGATTCTTTTATTTCCCCTCATCTTTCACTAATTTTGGCATCATCAGCATCGTCATCATTAAAATTTGCAAATAGCACCAAAATGACATCACTGGATCCAAGGTTCCCTAGTTGGTCATCCAAGGACTCCAGTGCCTTCTCTGTCAGAAGAGGGACCAGTCTGACTGATGGGCAGCTCAAACCAGTCCAGGTGCTGTGGTGCTGTGCTCACATCATCCAGCCCAAATGCTGGAGGCTCCATAGGCTAGAACAGCTGACACACAGTGCAAGTCCGGCCTCTGCTCATATCCTGTGTCCACTTTTAGCAGGAACCAGAGGTTGGGAGCTTGGTGTAAATTTGTTTACTGAATAGTTGAGGTTTCCACTGACCTACTGAGAAACTGCTTTTAGAATCCTGCCTGCAGGGGCACCTGTGTGGCTCAGACGGTTAAGCATCCAAATCTTGATTTCAGTTCAGGTCATGATCTCAGGGTTGTAGGATCAAGCCCTATGTTGGACTCCACACTGAGCATGGAGTCTGCTTGAGATTTGCTCTCTCCCTCTCTCTCTCTGACCCTCCCCCTGCTCACATTCTCTCTCTCTCTAAATAAAGTAATTAATAAAATAAGATAAAATAAAATAAATAAAATAAAATAAAATAAAATCCTCCTTGCAGAACCAGACTCCTAACTGCAGAGATCACCCTGCAGGGTCACCAGAGGGGAAGTGAGTGGTGGGTGGGGGGATAGGTGATGGGGATGAGGGAGGGCACTTGTGATGAACACTGGGTATTGTACAGAAGTTCTGAATCCCTATATTGCACACCTGAAATTAATATTACACTGTATGTTATTAACTCACTGGAATTTCAATAAAAACTTTTTTTTAAAGATAAAAGGAAAAAAATAAAATGAGGCCATTAGAGTGGACCCTAGTGCCACATGACTGGTGTCCTTATAAAAAAGGGACATTTGGATACAGACATGCACACAGAGAGAACAGCCTGTGAATATGGAGGCAGACATGAGGGGATGTTTCGATAGGCCAGAGGTCACCAGCCTGCTGTGACCAGCAGAATCCATGAGAGAGCCTGGAGCAGGTTCTCCCTCATGGCCTCAAGGGAACCAGCCCTGCCACCACCTTGATTTTGGACTTCTCACCTCCAGGACTGAGAGTGAATAAATCTCTTCAGTTTGTGGTGCTTTGTTATGGCAGCCTCAGGAGACTCATATGGGGAGGTTCCTCACACCCCTCTGGGCTGTGACAATTCCCTAGGAAGACTGAGAACTCACTCAAACTGTAGTAGTTGTAGTTATGGTTTATGAGGACTAACATTACAGATTAAGATCAACCAAAGATCAATAAGTGGCTAATAAACAACACACATTTGTTTCTCACAGTTCTGGAGGCTGGAGGTCCAGGTTCAAGGTACCAACAGGTTCCCTGTCTGGTGAGAACCTGCTTCCTGGTTCACAGATAACCATATTCTCACCATATCCTCTCATGGAGCAATGACCAGGGAGTTCTCTGGGGCCTCTCTTTGTAAAGGCACACATCCCATTCATGGGGGCTGCACCCTCATAAGCTAATCTCCTCCCAAAGGCCCTACTTCCCCATATCATCACTTTGGGCAGTATGTTTCAGCATATGGATTTAGGGGACACAGACATTAGTCTACGGGACCAGGAGAAACACCAAACATGAGAGAGATAGATAGATAGATAGATAGATAGATAGATAGATAGATAGATTTTATATATATTCTGCTTCTAGGCTCATAGGCCATTTCATGCCTATGCTTCACTTCTACTTTCTCCACCTTCTCCCTCTCACAGATATGTACTTCTGGAATCACTGTCTTTTTCCTTTTTTGCCCTTTTAATTCCTCCTAACATAGAGCAGAGAAACAGCAAAGAGGATAGAGGGTGGAGGAACTGGCTGGAGTGCACGAGCCAGCGTCGGGGGCATGAGCAGGCATCAGCAGTTGAGGGGGTGTCTCACTAGAGATCTGGGGGGATACAAGTTACAAAGTATGGTAAAGCTTGGAAAAATGCAAAGCACTGCTTCATCCAGAGAAGCAGAATGTTTAGCACAGCTCTTTCATGACTGAGAGGCTCTGAAAGCTGTAGTGATGGAGAGAAACCCACAGGTGAGAGCAGACATAAAATTAGATGTTGGTGTGCAACCCAGTGCTATGTCACTTTTCAGATGAGAAGAAGGTTTGGGGAAATGCTGGGTTTTTTAATAGGAAAAGTCTACAGATACCACGGTTGGAAAACAGCACTTTCATTGGCTGTTTCATTGCCTTGGATGTACACAGGTAGAGAAAAAGTGTAGGGTGTCCAGAGAAGAGCAAGGAGAATGAGGAAGGGGGTGTAGAGATGAGCTAATGTGAAGACAGTGGGGAGCATGATGCACGTGAAGCATGGTTGCCGCGGCCCCCCAGGAGAAGGGAATGAGTAGCTGATGGATATTTGGGAAGCGTTCACATCCTCTGTAGAGAGGGTGTACATAGCCTCACACTATCATGTTTAAATTAGTGCTAATCAAATGCAACTAAGGAATTTGTTGCTAGGGTTGAAATCTGGGAAACCATAGATGACATATTCCATTGGGGTGGAGAGAAGTAACAGCCCTTGCCTGGGATGCTGTTCCTCCTGAACTTGGCGTGACCAGCTTTTTCAATAATTCAGGTCTCAGCTTAGGTGTCACCTGCTCAGAGAAGACTTGACCTCTCCAGCAGAACACGTTCTCCCTCCACCTATGGGAATCACCATGGATGGCCTGATTTGATTGATGTCACAGAGCAATATGAAATTATCTTTCTCATTGAATTCTTTGCTTCCTTGGTGTCTGACTCTCCCACTAGAATGTTTGCCCCATAAGATCAGGGGTCTTGCCTGTCATATTCACCTCTAGATTCCACAGTGCTAATTATTCTAGTAACTGCCCACACTCATAAGGCAGCCAAGTCATCACAAGCACTCCATTAAATACAAGACATTTATACATCAACGTATTTAGGCCATGCAGCAAACTAGATTTTATTTATTTTCCTCTTGAAAGAAAAAAAAAGAAGAAACTTGAGGCCCAGAGGGTTCAGGTGACTTCTCTAAAGTTTCACAACTACAAGTGCCAGAGCTGGGATTTGAACACTCTTAACCACTGCACCACACAGTGTGTAACCAATAAACACATATTGACTAAATAACTCCATCAGTGCATGAGTGAACAAATGAATGAGGCTTTGAATCCAGAACCTCTGCCTATAGCAGGCAGCATGAAAGGTATTGAGGTTTATGCAGCTCTGTTCATCAGGAACCACCCAGGTGTCATCCAACTGCAGAGGTAATCCCAGGGTTAATTACCTCTGTGGTGCTGAAGAGGATCTCCATGCCCTGGGCTGCCAGGAAAGCCTCCCTGCCAGACCGGAGGTTGGCAATATGCTTGAGGCAGAGCAGGAGTGCCCGGCGGATCAGCACATAGGCGTTGGCAGCGTCATGGCGATGCCAGTCCTGATGCAGTTTGAGCAAGCTGGTGACGTAGCCTCTGTTCACAGCCCTGCGGCTGTTAGACTCTGAAACCAATGGAAGACGGTGATGTCAGTCACAGGCTCTCCTGGCCACACCTGCCTGAGGATGCCCCAGTGTACCTCCCTCAAGATACTCATTCTAAAGGGACTAAGAATAACTTTCCATTGGGGAAAACTGGCAGATGTCACCTTAATCAAGTGATCAAAGTGAACATCACTGTGTGTGTTGCACTGAGAAAAACACAGCATCACTTCTATGGCATTCCTGCCCAAAATGCATAGCCTGAATTTAACCATGAGGAAAATCAGCAAACCCCAAATGAGGGGCATGTTACCAATCACCTGATCAATACTCTTCAAAAATGTCAAGGTCATGAAAGGCAAAAAAAAAAAAAAAAAAAAAGAAGGGAGGGGAGGGGAGAAGAGAGAGCTAAAGAATTTATATAACATGTAAGTACAATACAGGATTATAACTTAGATCCTGAGCCAGAAAACAATTTTTGTCCTTTGCTACTACAGGGCATTAGTGAGGCAGTCAGTAAAATTTGAACAAGGTCTATAAATTAACAGTATTACATCGACATATATTAAATTGTGGTAACTTGCGCTTATGTAAGAGAAAATCCTTTGTTTAGGAAACTCACAACTGGAGAATGTGAATGTCTGTAATATATTCTTAAAAAGTTCAGAAAAAAAATATAATAACATGGGGGAGGGTGAAAGAATGAAGAGAGAGAGAGAGACAGAGACAGAGAGAGACATTTCCACCAGATTTCCATTCCTCTTCCCTAAATCTTAGCAGACTTAGGGTATCATCACTGCGTTGAGTAAATTACAAGACTTAGTTTGGAAAGAAGACACTGAATGGGACATGATAGCCAAAACACAGATTTTTCGCGTGTTTATCCTAGGGAGCACGGAAGCAGCTTATGGATAATCAAGGTCTGACTCAGCCCAAGAAAGGAATTCCTCATAGTCAAGGCTATCCAACAAGAGGATGGACTCTCTGTGGTAGGAGTAACCAGGCACAATGTTCAGATGGTGGAAGACCAGCCAGCAGGCATGTGGTCTGGAGCTTTCTTCCATCTGATGTGGAAACATAAGAGAGGGCTTTTATTTTTCCCTTCACAACTTCAGTTCCACAATTTTTCTTTCAAAACTGAGAGGATCCTGGTGGAGACCTCCCATGAGACACACCCTATAGAATAAGGGCACGATGTCCTGATTCTTCCAGGGTATGCTTTAAATTCTCATTGAGGAAACACAGAGGGAAGAATAGTCCAAAATACTTCTCTTAACAGTTAGCATATGCCCTTTCCAGCTTAACCTCCTTGGGCTACCAGTGTCATGGACAAATGTGTCCCAGCCCAGATCTATCCAGCAGGTGGTTGGTCACCCCTGCTCCTACGAGCAAAGTGCACTGCATTACCATAACCGGCTGACTCTTAGTACGAATGCCCAAATCTTGCAGCTCTGCACTCACTGCTGCATTTCTCCATTATCCAAACCATTCACACTGGCTTATGAGACAATATAGGCCCCTGGCCGAGTGTGTGTGTGAGAGAGATCCCCTGAGCTGTAATTGGAGAAGCAAAATTTCAGCTCAAAGTCAGATTTTTCCCTAAGACCATGTAAGTGCACATAAGTGAAAAAAATAACATAAAAATTCGGCACTTTATTCCGGAGGGGTTTTCTCATATTAAAGGAATTTTTTTTTTTTTTTCTGCGAGTTTGTCAAATTCTAAATTGTCAGGCTTGGCTGAGCCCCACTGAGATTTTTGACCCATTTGTACAGTTCTGTTTTGTTTTCACTTTTACAACATTTCATTCAGCCATGATCCTGAACTGAGAGTGATGAGCTTTATTTGCCCACTGATGTGTTTGTGGAAGGTTTAAATCTCCTTCATTACCTCCTTTACTGAATTATTCTTTTGCATCAAAAATATTTCTCTCCTTGGTTGGTCTCAGCTACAAAGCACCAGAGTTCTTTACTGCCTAAATGAGGTTCCAGCCTATCCAATATCTGATTTTTAAAAGAAAATGGGGATTAAGTAGGAGGTATTAGAGTATTGCCTCCTGGAAAGATTCCAGAATGGCAAAAACAGTACACAGAGGCCCCATGGGCAGGGAGAGGTTAAGGACTTCAGGTCTTTTATCTATTTTAAGGGTAGGAGACTAATAACGTATTATCTTAATGACCTTCATCCCCTACTCTTCTTGGGGGAGGGGGGCATAAAGGGAAAAAAAAATCTTTAATTGTCTCAGAGAAAAATCTTTTATCAAATCCTAATGATTTTATTCATGATTTCCTGTTAATCCTCAACAAGCTGCCATGTTTACTAACATCTAAAAATCGCTATACCTCCTTCCCCGCCAACTCTACACCAGTCAATCTTTCCCTGAGACTGGCTTGCAGTTTTGCAAAAGTCAATATGCCTCTAAAACCGGACAAAAGGAGATTCAGCAAACTGAGGAAGAGCAAATGTGGAGGAGAGCCAAAGAATGAAATGAGGGTCACCGAGATCAGTGATGTGCAGGAGTTCTAGAAGATTTGAGAGGGATCAGCACCTGGCCAAATATCTAGGAGAAAATGTTTCTCCTGGGTGAGCTCAGGATTTGGGGCAGGAGAGGACTCCAGGTTCCCCAGCCCTCTTCCCCTCTTCAAAACAAATCAGCGGCACTTAAGTCTGTTTATATATAAAGGGATTCCTCCTAAGATTTTCTTGGAAAAAATTCCTGCTCCTTAATTTTTTTTAACTTTTCCCCAAGTAGATTGGTTCATCTTAACCAGTAGAAGGATGGAGCCAGGGTGGACAGAGAGGAGCTCTGAGCTCAACATTGTGGAGGCCGAGAAAATTAAGGCCATTCACTTTAAGTTCAGCATTATCACAAGTACAGCCATCCCAGGCTCCTGTGAATAAGAGCTGAACTCTACCTTACTTCAGTTACAGGAAGAAAACAGCTTACAGTTTATCGTCCTAGAAAGCCCCATATTAGAATAAAAACAGAGCCCAAGCCAAGGGCAGGAAGCCCCTATTAGAATGAGAACAGAGCCCAAGCCAGTGGCGAGAAGCCCCTATTAGAATAAGAACAGAGCTCAATGCCCTTGAAGACCCCATATCAAAATGTAAACAGAACTTGAGGAATTCCTCCACCCCTTCTGGAGGTCCCCTAGACCAGTCCTTAAAACTAAGCTGAAACCCACCTCTGGGTCCAAGTCCCTGCTCCACTGTGTCGGGTATACTTGGACCCAAGCTCGAGCTTGTAAATAAACCCTCGTTTGCATCGGTGTCTGCTCCTCGGTGGCTTCTCAGATTTGCAATCTTGGGCACAACAAACATCTCACCCCATACTCCCACCCCATCTCAATGGCACTCTCAGTGCCCAATCTCCATCTTGCCCAATGTGTTCTCTGGTCAGCTTTCCTTTGGCAAATTCATGAACTCAACTTTGACCTTCCCACCATTCATCCTCTTATATTCTACTGCCTCTGCCTCTCCAGATTATATCCTCCAGAGTGAGGTCTCCTTTGTAGCTAATGATCAGTCTGAAATGTGACCAAGTAATATCCTATAATATTATGCAGCAGATTTTTACACTCAGGTAAAAAGAAAAAAAATAATAAATAAGTAGAAGGGAATAGGCCAAGATACCACTAGTACTTATGGAGGGGGAGGAGAGTGAGGATTCGATTTGCTTTAGACTTTTTACATTTGACTTAGGCTTTTCTGTAGTTCATATTCCCCAGATACGCTACAATGAGCTCTGATAATCAGGAGGGGTAAAAAATGTTACCTTCAGGCTGGAGGTCCATAGACTGTTGATTGTGTCAGGTCGTAAATGCCTGTGGGCAGGGCCAATAGTCCCCAGGTTGCCATAGCAACCAACTCACCTTTTTTCTGTCTTCTCCCCTCCCCTTCAAAAGTGAATTACCTGCCTACCCCCTGAAGGCACTTGAGGTCCTGACCACCTCTATAAAGATGTTTGTCTTTTTTTTTAAGATTTTATTTATTTATTTAACAGAGAAAAAACACAAGCAGTGGGAGCAGCAGAGGAAGAGGGAGAAGCAGGCTCCCAGCTCAGCAGGGAGCCCCCAACATGGGGCTCCAACCCAGGACTCTGAAATCATGACCTGACCTGAAGGCAGATGCTTAACTGACTGCACCCCCTAAGATGTTTGTCTTTTAAAGAGGAAAGTCTACACACCTTCAAGACTCAAAGATGGAATTTCTCCTGGGAAATATTCAGCCTCATGACAGGCTGGTGAAGAAATGCTCCCTGAACCAGATTATTATCCCTACTAGCAGCCCACTCCTCTGCCACTGCCCTTTGGCAAAACCAAAGGAAATTTCATCTCTGCTCTTTATTTTCCATATCTGGAGATTTCATCAGCCCATTTAGGGTGAAGTGATGACTTCATAGAGGCCATATGGAAACCTGCAGCAGAGCAATGAGCCAAACAACTTAACAGCCACGGCTCTCAAATGAGACGGACAAATTAGTGTAGACTCTTAAACACATCTTTCCTGTGGTTGTGTATGCATCCTGCATGGCCTCACTGGGCCTGCTGTCAGCTGCCTTTTGGGACTCCTTGTACCTGGTCAGGAACTCCACTGTTCTAACTGCATGGCCTTGAACATGTCAGCTCACTGTTCTATCACTAAGTCTTTATCTGAATGACAAAACTAATAACATCCCTTCCTTGGGAGTTGTCGAGAAAATTAAATGAGATAATACACATAAAGTTGATAGCTTGATCCCTGGCTCATAATTAGCATTTGATAGCCTTTCATGACTCATTATCAACATGATAAGCAAAATCTATTTATTATCCCAACTTGCCCTCTATTGTTATGGACAACAAAGTGCTAAAGCCTCAGGATAGGAACATAGTCTTTTTGGCAGCCTCATTCAAGAGCAGGAATTCCAGGATCACAGAGCTGTTGGTTTGAATTTCGGCTCTACCAGTTGCTAGCTGTATAACCTTCTTTAAGCTGATTAGCCAGCCTGAACTATATTTCCATCTTCTGCAAACACTAAGGCAA